GATAAGAGTGCTTGCTGCTCAAGTATGGCAACCTGAGTTCAAATCCCCTGGCACCCACGTAAAAGTCTGCAAGTAGCCATGCCCATGCCTACATCTTGAATGACATATGGAAAGGAGTCAGGAAAATTTCTAGAGCTTGCCAGCATAGTGCAGAGTTCAGTAGGAGAGTCTGACTCAAGGAATAAGGCAAGAGAGTCATAATAAAACAGGACACCCAGTTACAAAGTCGAACAGTCCTCAGTGGGTGGGAGGAGTGAGGATGATTATAGGAAAGATAGAAAGCAGATGCAAGAGACAGGTATGGGAGGGCTGCAGGTCAATACCACACCAGCCCCGAGTGCATTTCTCATAGCCTTCTTATACTACAGTGCCATGGGAAGCAAAGCCACAAGCTAACAGAAGTAATTTGCTAAAATATACACATAAGACGTTTGTTCCCATCCAAAAACTTCCCTGTTCTCTCCACCAAGGTCAATAGAATCTTCAGCCTCTCACCTTGAGCCTCAAGGCACCTCCTCTTATCATTCAAGGCCTCAGCAGGCCGGGAACTCTGCCAGCAGACCCTGCCTGCCTTGACGCTACCTGGCAGGCAGATGCTCTCTCTTTATTTCCCTCTGCTTCAGAGAAGTAGCAAAAGGCACCAAATGTTCTGTGGTCTCGGTGTACACATGCACAAGTTCATGCACCACCCCTTGAGTGCGTGCGCGCACGCGAGCACACACACACACACACACACACACACACACACAAGCTGTATCTACTTTCCTAAAGTGTTTATTTTCTTCAGACTTCCACTCATTGCCCATCTTACTGCTGGTCTCTGCCGGGATCAGTTATTTGCAGGTGACTTGGTTATCTTAGTTCCTATGGAAGTGCAAAGTAGCAGTCACCTTTAGTGCATATTTTAGTGTAGTTGAGAATTCAGAGCGGGACCAGAATGCCCGTCTTTTATTTCCTGCATGTGCTGCTGAATGATTGTGATGCTGAAAACTTGGCCTCCCTTAGAGGTGTCTCAGTGTCCTCAGAGCCGGGACTAAACTGGATCCCCGAGATCCGATATCAAAATCACAGACAAGGGAGTCTGATTGCTCAGGTCAGGTCAGGTATCTTCTGGATGTATTGGTTGATGGTCATGGAAACGTGGTACAGAATAATCAAGTCCCCTCCCCAAGATATACTACAGTATATCCGAGGCTGGCCTTGCGTGATAAATTTATAGAATGCTTCTTAGTGTCCTGGGATGTAGGTTTGTGCTGCCGCACTCATTCACATGCTTCTCTTCCTTCCTTCCTTTCTTTTTTCTTTTCTTTTTTTTGACTGGGCCTCTCTATAGTCCTGGCTGGCCTGGAACTTGGCTGACTTCTAACTCACAGAGATCCTTCTGTCTCTGCATGCCACCCCTCACAAAATAAATAGAGAAATCTAATGAGTAATTTTAAACAGTTTATTAAAGCTGTTGTCTTGAAGCGAACCTTTCCTCTTGTCTTTCTCATAACTCTCCCAATACTTCCTTGTCACACACCAAGTGTTTTATCTCTCCTAAGCTCTGTCACTGTCCCTTCACTCCGGTGTATTTCTCACATTTGGTAGCCAGGGTAAACCATTCCTTCCCTCTGTTTCCTCACTGTAATGTCTGAGACCATCAAGCAGTGTTTCTGATGCTGAGGAGCCAGTACAGGAAGCGTTTGCTCCGGTCACTCCCGAGAAAGCCTGGCCACATCTCACTCCTTCACTTTTTGCAAGCCTTATCTTGTTCCCTCGCTGCAGTGTGGCTTTGCTCTTCTCAGGACCTCAGGCTTGCTGAGCCTCCACATCCTTGGCAAATGCAGCCAAGTGCTTCCCTCAGCGTCTTTGTCTGGTGAAGCAATCACTCGTGATTATCAGCGGGCTCCAGAGAACTTGCCGGAAGGTGGTGCTTGTTCAAGGTTATTGAGTGGTTCAGTAACCCCCATCTTCTGGGAAGTTCTGTGGTCTGAACACATTCATCCCATACCCTTCTACCACAATTAATCGAATTAGCTAAGTTATGGTCTCGGGACATGGGGCTTTGGGGAAGTGATAGGTTGTAAGGGTAGAATCTTCATGAATGGAACTGGAAAGAGAAAGAAAAAAAAAAAACTGTTGTGTCCATATGATAGAATATGGAAGGTCTGGAGGTTGGGAGCTGGAGAGGTGGCTCTAACATTAAGAACACATTTTTGTTTCTGCTAAATGAGATTTCAGTTTGTTTTGTTTTTTATTTTTGTACTGCTCGGGATTGAACCCAGGGCCTTGTGAATGTCTGGCAACAGCTCTGCCCCTAAGCCATGTCCTCAGCCTGTGTGCTAACTTAGAGCTCCTATGACTATTGACATGTAGGTGTTAACTAGATGTTACAGGCCTAAAGCGTCTATTTGCTGTTCTTCTGTCAGGTCAGAAGGCTTTCAGGATACCCTGTTATTTAGGTCTTCTGCTTAGCTTGCCCGGCTTGCTGGGAGGAATTTAGTGGTGTCTGGATGCAACCTTGGAAGACACACCCAGCGTGCTGACTGTTAGAGCCCCTGTGAGGAATGCTGGAGGCATCCGTGGTGTCGAGAGTGTGGCATTACTGAGGTTCCAGCACTGGGGAGGTGTGGTGAGGAGAGGGGACAGTCTTTTTTCATCCCTGCCAGAAAGATCACAGTTTTGGTTTACTATTGGAGGCAGAGAGTGAGTGCGCTGAGCAAAAAGCATGTTTGCAGCAGCTGTTGGAAACTAAGCTGTAGTCCTGGAGTCTTTTCTCCAGGTTAACCTTTCCCACCTACTGTTCATGAACGCACGTCTTCCTTCTATCTTCCCTCCCTCCCTCCCTCCCTCCCTCCCTCCCTCCCTCCCTTCCTTCCTTCCCTCCTTCCTTCCTTCCTCCATCTCAGTCATTTTAGACACCATCTTTGTAAGTGTGCACTAATCTCCACTGCATACCAACACTGTTCACCCTGTGTTAAAGCAGCTAGGAGTCAGGAGCCTGCAAGTGCGGATGGATATGGATACATCTCAGGAGACACAGATACATCTCAGGAGACCCGGCAGGGACCCCACAAGGGATGGAGATAGATACATCTCAGGAGACACAGCAGGGACCCCACAGGGGATGGAGATAGATACATCTCAGGAGACCCAGCAGGGACCCCACAGGGGATGGAAATAGATACATCTCAGGAGACCCGGCAGGGACCCCACAGGGAACCAGGAGTGGGCTACAGCTGGGAGGAGGGGCTGCTATTCTGAGTACTCCTTGGTTTTCTTGTTTGTTCCTTTGTTTAGTTTGTGGGATTGAACCCATAGCCCTAAGTGTGAAGCCTTCTACCGCTGAGCAATGTCCATAACCAGTTTTGTTTTGTCTTTGAGACAGAGTCTTACTATGTAATCCTGGCTATCCTAGACCTCACTCTGTAGACCAGGCTGGCCTCAAACTCATAGAGATCTGCCTGCCTCTGCCTGTCCAGTGCTGGGATTATAGGCGTGAGCTACCACCTCCACCACCGCCCGTGTTTGTTTGTTTCTAACAAGAAGTCTGTCTCAGAATTGGGAGTGTGGTTCAGTGGTCAATTACTTGCTTAGCCTGACCTTTTCAAAACAGGAAATGATAGATTAAACAGGTACATAGATGGATGGATGGATGAGCTGGCAGATGGGTTAAAAGGGAACCCAGACAGATAGTTTAGGGGTAAGAGCACTGGCTGCTCTTCCAAAGGACCTGAGTTCAATTTCCAACACCCACATGGTGGCTCACAATCACCTGTAACTCCAGCTCCAGGAATCTGGTGCCTTCTTTTGGCTTCCAATGGTGTTGGTCTGTGTGTTCCTTAGTACTTGTCTGCAGAACAAATATTACTAATGCCAGATCTTGCTGATTTTGAGACATGGAGAAGTCCTAGGCTGTTCTCAAAATCAGGGCAGTTCTCCTAGCTACCCCCTCCCCCTGCTCCCCAATACTGGCATTGCAGGTATGAGCTGCCACCCATGGTCATGGTGGTAACAGGAAAAATAACTTAAGGACCTTGGTTTGGGAACTGTGACACCCAGATTCTGTTTCTCTTTCTTAGAAGTAGCTTTAAAAAAGAAGTAAAATAACCTGATTTTTAGGTTCAATTTATTCTCTAGTTGTTAGACTTGGGCATGACTCTCTAAGTCTCTGTTTCTTCATCTTCAACATAAAAAATGGGGCCTGATTCAGAGGGTTGCTCTAAGGAATCAACAAAACAAGACGCGCACACAACACGTAGGCCAGGTTGTTTTGTTGGAACATGCCGAGTACTTGATACACAACTTAAAACAAAAAGGAAGGACCAGGTGGGACTCAGTGCACAGGCTTAGCAGGCTCAAGGCCCTGGGTACCATCCCCAGCAAAACAAAGCAGGAAGAGGGAAGAAAGAAGGCAGAGAGGGGAAGAAAAATCTCTTTAGCATGGATTTGTGTTAGCATCTTTTTTTTTTTTTTTTTTTTTTTTTTTTTTTTTTTTTTTTTTTTTTTTGAGACAGGATTTCTCTGTATAGCCATGGCTGTCCTGGAACTAACTCTGTAGACCAGGCTGGCCTCGACCTCAGCATCTTTTTCTTAGCTTTTGTGGACTCTGATTTCCTCTGGGCCCCTAGAGGCTGTGTGGTAGTGGGCTGGCCTTTGTGGTAGTGGGCTGGCCTTTGTGGTAGTGGGTGGACCTGTGTGGTAGTGGGAGGGCCTGTGTGGTAGTGGGAGGGCCTGCGGGGTAGTGGGAGGGCCTGCGGGGTAGTGGGAGGGCCTGCGGGGTAGTGGGCGGACCTGTGGGGTAGTGGTATAGTGGTAGTGTGGGGTAGTAGGTATGCCCTTGAGTGAAAGTAGACAATACCTGGGAATGGACACTTCCCATTCCCATGGACTAAGGCAGAGTTGATCAGTTGTAATTAGCCCCTGGGAACATATACATGAAAAAAAATGAAGTAATAGGCAGGCTTTCAGAACGACTTTGTTTTTACGTGCTTTCTTTTTTGTCGTTTTTGAAACAGTGCCTTTGAAGATGAGACCCTGAGACTTCGGCAGCTGAAGCTGGACAATCAGGTGAGTGGAGGGCTCCCAGAGGACTGCACAGCCTAGTGCTGAAGTTTGTCAGGGTCTCAGAGAAGGACCAGAGGGGCAGGGTCACTCACAGTTACTCATTAAATAGTGTGTGAACTTAGGAGTCTTGGCCAAAGCTCTAGGCTATGGCAAGACCAGAGCAGTTTGAAGATGGTAGCAGTACACTGGCTTTGCTAATCATCAATGAAGATCTCTGGGCTGCTATAAGGCTTCGAAGGATGTTGTAGCTGGGCATGGTAACACTAACTGGGAATCCCAGCACTAGAGAGGCTGAGATAGCATCTTGGGAGTTCAAGGCCACTCTGAGCAATGTAGTATAAAAAGAATTATCTAGAACCAGCCCCCTAGGTAACATCACAGTGTGGCAGAGAAGCAACACGGGAAACAGCCGTTTCTTGGGATGGGGGATTGGATGGCAAGCCCTGGCTGGCCTCAGACTACAGAGATTGCGGCCTGTGTCTGCGTCCCCAGTGCTGGGATTGCAGGCATGTTCCACCCTGGCTAGCTCTGTTTGCTTCCTTTACTGGACTAATTATAGAATAAGAACCAAGAGCGGACTATAAGAGGCACGTTCATTTTTGATTGACACATAATTACTGTTCATATGTATGGGGCACTGTCACGTTTCATATCAGGTTTATGTGGGTGTGTGCTTGTTCCTGTGTGAGGAAGTCGTAGGGCAACCTGTGGGTCTCAGTCCTCACCTGTCCAGCCTGCTTGAGACAGGACTGTGGGTGGCATAAGCCATCTAGCCATCGAGGTTAGCTGGCTCACAGCTTCTGCAGAACCCCCTATCCCTGCTTCCCCCTCCCCATATGGGCACCCGATGATTATGGCCACTGGACTACTGCATTTGATCTCATGTTCCCAAGTGTAGGAGGAGGGTTCTAGTCTCCAAGCACTGAGTACTGGCTCCTAGCTCCTCAGTGAGTATGAAATGCATTTCAGTTTTCATCTCCCTAATGACTAACAGTGCTATACTGTTCCTAACTTGAAACAAACAAACCAGGATCTCACTGTATAGCCCTGACTGTCTAGATCTGACTCCCTCTGAATTCTGTGGGTACCAGGCATGGACCAGAGCACATACACACATACATTCAGGCAAAACATTATGTATAAAATAAATATAATTTAAAAAATAGTATATGTGACAGCGCTTTCCTTTCTACTCTGGTGTAATCTTTTTCTCATAACCCTTCATGTCTTTTTGCCTGACTTTCTTGCTTTCTTTATCTTGCTACTGGTTTGGTTTGGTTTGGTTTGGTTTGATTAACTTTACCTTTACTTAACAATCTGGGCATGAGCTCCTGAGATCAAGATATCCTCCTGTTTCAGCCTCCCGAGTAGCTGAGACTAAACGAGGGGCCCCAATCTCAGAGTCCCCACCGCTGTAACTGCACCTTTGTGTGTAGGTTGGTTTTTGACAACACAAGCTGGAGTCTTCTGAGAAGAGGGAACAATTGAGAAATGGCTCCCATCAGATTGGACCATAGGCAAGCCTGGGGCGTGGGGGATTTTCTTGATTGATGATTGATGTGAAAAGATCCAGCCCACTCTGGGTGGTGCCATGTCTGGGATGGTAGGCCTGGAGTATAAGAGAAAACTGAGCCAGCCATGAGAAGCAAGCTAGTCAACAGCCTTCCTCCAAGGCCTCTACTCTAGCTGTTGCCCCCAGTTTCTTGTCCTGACTTGACTGTAAGTGGAAGCTAAGGCTTTCCTCTCCAGGTTGCTTTTGGTCATGGTGTTTGGCACTGCAACAGTAACTAAAACACAAAGTAGATGTCCTGCCCCACCCCTGGCTCTGTATCTTGCTTTTACCCACAGACTCCATTGTTCTCTGCTCAGAATGTCCCAGGTGCCTTTTCTTTCTTCTCACCTCTGTCGACATCATTTGATTTTGAATTTTGTAAGTCGAACAAGAATGCAAAACTGAGGTGGGCCTTGGGGGTGCAGTCCTGTAATCCCAGGATTTGGGAGGACTGGGCAGGATTACGAGTTGAAAATCAGTCTGGGATACCTAGAACACTCCATCTCAGAGAAGAAGAAGGCCTTCCTGAGTGTCACCACACCCAGCCTGAGTGTTTCCATCTCTTGTGAAAAAAAAAAAAAAGATTCACAGTAACATTTAGGAGGATTAGTGGGAGTTGAGGAGGGGGAGAAGTGTTCTAGAAAAAACAGTCTAAGCTATTCCAAGAAGGTAGGCCTCATGTTGTAATGCCGAATTTTCTCTCTAGAGGGCACTACTGGAGAAGAAGCAGAGAAAGAAGCGCCTTGAGCCACTCATGGTACAGCCAAACCCAGAAGCCAGGCTGCGAAGGTTAAAGCCAAGAGGTACTGAGGAGCACACGCCTTTGGTGGACCCTCAGACACCACGCAGCGATGTCATCCTACATGGTGTGTATTCAGACAGTGCCACCTCTGACCTAGATAGGGTTTTCACAGACCCAAGATAAGGCGGGAGGATGCTGAGCTGCTACACAGACCCAAGATAAGGCGGGAGGATGCTGAGCTGCTACACAGAGATTGTATTAGCATCCTTCCTAAGTACCTTCATAATCTTTATCATCGCACTCTGGGTCTTTGGGAGGAAAAAAAAACCTGAACGATGCCTTCAAGTTTAAGTTCACTCTAGAACTATTGATTTTGATACAAAATGAATTGTTCTCTCTGACATGAATGAATGAATGAATTCTCAAAATTCTCCAAATGAATGAAGATCCTCTGACGTTGAGCCATTCCCCCAACCTCTTTGTCGAAGTCCTAGGTTCTGAAGGACAGCTTGAGTAGCCAAGTCTGTTAATAGAATTGGTCCCAGTCCTGGACAAACGTGCTTGTAACGCTAAGGAAAGAGGACAATGGGGATGGCTGGGTAGCCCTGTGAGCACACCCCCCCAAACCATCCAGCTCATTTCTGGTTAACTCTCACCCTTTGTCTTCCTCTGGGCTCCTAGGCATCGATGGTCCAGCTGCTTTCCTCAAGCCGGAGGCTCAGGATTTGGAAAGCAAGCCTCAAGTTCTCTCAGTGGGCTCCCCTACCCCAGAAGAAGGCACCGAAGGAAGTGCAGATGGGGAAAGCCCTGTGGAGACAGCCTCCAAGCCAGACCTTCAGGAGATTCTCCAAAAACACGGTGAGGGTGGTACTGAGCTTAAGACAGGGTATCTTCCTCTCTCTCACTGGCTTATATTCTAAGTGGCCCAGGCTTGCTTTGTGTGTCAGCATCTTTGACATTGAAGTGGTGGTGCTTGGCAACAGTAGCTGTTTATGCTGTCCTCTGAGAAAACAGGTAATAGACTATACCATAGCTGTTATTATATATGACTTTTCCTTTTGACAATTATCCATTGCCTACTCCCGCCTGTTGCTCGGATTCTTTTTTGGAGGAGCCCCTGCTAAGGTGCCAGTGACAGACTGAGGGCCAGCTCCACCAAAGGTCACTCCGTGGGAATAATGTTTATTTACAGAGCATGGGGGAGGGGTTACTTGGGAATGGGAGCTTTTCCCCCAACGGAGCTCAGCCGAAAAGCCTCACCCAGCAGACGTGAGGACTTCTCTTAGCCTCACAGATGGAGCCTTCCCCGCTCGCCTCCCCAAGGCTTGTAATTACAGCAGGTGGTAGACAGAGACTGGCTACTCAGGAGAGGGTCTTGGGACCCTCCCCAGCTCTCTGTGAGGGAGTGTAAACAGTCAGCCAGCCCATCTCGGGTCGTCCTTTTGCAGGGGGTTCAGCTAAATACCCCTGGATGGTAGTAACTTAGCTTGAAGGATAGACACTCACAACACCTCTCTTCAGCAGAGTTGCTCTTGACCACTTTGTCCACTACACTCTAATTCTGTGACAAGAGCCCGTTTCATCAGATGCTGGTGTTACAGAAGGACTCTGCATTTCAGAGTTCCCCTGAGATCTCTTTTCTCCTTAAAAACAATTTCACAGTGCCTGTTTTTGCTGATTTTTATCCCCTTTTTTTGAGACAGGGTTTCGCTGTGTAGCCCTGGCTGTCCTGGAGCTCACTCTGTAGACCAGGCTGGTCCTGAACCTGAAGATCCACCAGCCTCTGCTTCCCCTAAGTGCTGGGATTAAAGTTGTGCGCCACCACTGCCCAGTAGCAATTTTGCTTCTTTTTTGTTTTGTTTTGTTTTTTGTTTGTTTGTTTGTTTTTTTAAGACAGGGTTTCTCTGTGTAGCCCTGGCTGTCCTGGAACTCAGAAATCTGCCTGCCTCTGCCTCCCAAGTGCTGGAATTAAAGGTGTGAGCCACCACTGCCTGGCACCAATTTTGTTTCTTTAAAACCTGGTTTCTTTTTCTTTTTCCTTTTAGATAGGGTGTTGTTATGTAACCCAGGCTGGCTTCCAACTCGAGGTCCTCCCATCTCAGCCTTTTGAATGCTAAGATCACAGACCTTGACCACCATGCTATATACCTGCCCTCCAAGTGAGAACCGTGAAGGCCGGTAAGAACCGGCAGATGTGAGGTGCTTGCATTGCCAGCTTCCCCCGGGGAGCTGGATCTGGAGAGTCTGCTGCAGCGTGGTAGAGTAGCTGGATACTGACACGGGTTCCTATGTTCGTCTTTTTAGAAAATAGGCTCTGAGCATCAGTGAGCCAGCTTAGTGACTAAAGACACCTGCTGCCGAGCCTGAGCCCCGGAGCTCAGCATCCGCAGCTCCATAAAGTGGAAGGAGAAAGTCAGCTCCTACAAATTGTCCCCATACACATACCTATCAACTAAATAAATGAATTTTGATTTTAAAGAAAAAAAGTTCTGAGGGCCAAGGAGATGGCTCGGTGGGCAGAGGCACTTCCTGGCAGGCCTAACATCCTGAGTTCGACTCCCAGGACCCACATGGTAGAAGGAGAACAACAATTCCCACTGAATAAACAAATTAAAATGTAATTTTTAAAAGAAGATTTTAAAAAGAAAACAGGGGCCAAGTGTGGTGGAGCATGCCCTCAGCACTCAGGAGGCAGAGGCAGGCGGATTTCTGAGTTCGAGAGTTCAAGGCTAGCCTGGTCTACAGAGTGAGTTCCAGGACAGCCAGGGCTACACAGAGAAACCCTGTCTCAAAAAAACAAACCAAAAAAAGAAAGAAAGAAAGAAAGAAAGAAAGAAAGAAAGAAAGAAAGAAAGAAAGGAAAAAGAAATGGGTTTATTCTGAGAGGCTTTGTGGCCTGGAGTGCACCTCAGTTGCTGGAGTGTTTGCCAACATGCGTGAAGCCCTAACTTTGATCCCAGCACTGACAGGACTGCGTAGAGACGCATGCTTCCAGTCCCACCACTCGGAAGACAGAGGCTGATAAAGCGAGTTTAAGGCTGTCCTGGGCTACATGAGACCCTGTCTCAAATGTAAAATCATGGTTTCTTTGTGCTGGAAGTGAAAAGGTGCCAGAGCGTCCCTGGATGCTCCTAACCCAGACTGGGTGATGTGCCTGCTTCCCAGAGGAAGTTCGAGGCCTGACCGCAGGAGCTGGCCCACGGAGAGGGCAGCTGTGAAGCCGGGTGAAGCTGGGTGTGATCCGATGGGAGGGAGGGAGAGTGGGCAGGGCGAGCCTGGAGGGCTCAGAAGGGTGAGTTCTGGGCATAGAGATGTAGATTGCACGCCTTTATTCCTAGCACTCAGGAGAAACAGGCAGACAGATCTCAGTGTGTTTGAGGTCAGCCTGGTCTACAGACTGAATTCAGAATAGCCAGAGCTACATGGTGAGACTCTGTCTCAAACAAACAGGAAAAGAAGGCACAGGTTCCATAGGAGGCCATAGCAGGACTTTGGAGTTTGCCTAAAACATAATAGGAGGTAGTGGTGAGACAGGTCTCATATAACCCAGGCTGGCCTCAAGCTTATTTTGTAGCCAAGGATAGCCTGGACTTCACAGTCCTGCTTCTGCCTCCTGAGTACTGGGACTACAAGCATGTACTACCAGACCCGGTTCCAGTTAGCGATTTATTGCTGCTGCTGCTGCTGCTATTATGTTGTTGTTGTTGTTGTTGTTGTTGGTGGTGGTGGTGGTGGTGGTGGTGGTGGTGGTGGTGGTAGTGTGTGTGTGTGTGTGTGTGTGTGTGTGGACACATGCTTCAGCACACATGTGGAGGTCAGAGAGCAACTTTAGGGAGTCAGATCTTTCTTTCCACCATGTGGGTTCCAGGAATTGATCTCAGGTTGTTAACCTTGGCAGCAAGCACTTTTACCCAGTGAGTCATCTTGCTGGCCCCACTTGGGAATGTCTTAAGCAGGAAAAAAAAAATTAATTCTTCTTTTTGGAACTGGGTTAAGACAGGGTTTCTTTGTGTAGTCTTGGCTGTTGTGAAACTCACTCTGTAGACTAGACTGGCCTCAGACTTGCAGAGATCCACCTGTCTCTGCCTCCCAAGTACTCACCATCACCCTGTAAAGCTCTTTTCTTTTTTTTTTCTTTTTCTTTTCTTTTATTTACTTTACAACCCTACCACAGTTCCGCTCCTTCCTCTCCTCCTGGCCCTGTCCTCTCATGTCCCCCTCCTCCTCCTCTCCTCTCTACTCCTCCTTTTCACTTCAGAAAAGGTGGGACCTTCCCTGGATATCACCCAGCCTTGGCATATCATTAAGACTAGGCCCATCTTCTCCCATTGGGGTAGCCCTATAGGGAAAGGGTCCCATAGGCAGACAGCAGCATCAGAGACAGCCCCTGCTCCCTCTGTTAGGGGTCCCACATGAGGACCAGCTGTACTGTGTGTACGGAGGGCTAGGTCTGTCCCACACATGCTCTTGGGTTAGTCTCTGTGAGTCCCTCTGGGCCCCGTCTAGTTGATTCTGTGGATTTTCTTAGTGTCCCTGATTCCTGTGGCTTCTTTCATTCTTCCTCCCTGTCTTACCCAGGATTCCCCAAGCTCCGCTTAATGTTTGGCTGTGGGTGTCCGAATCTCTTTCCATCAGTTGCTGGGCGCAACCTCTCTGGTGATGGTTATGCTAGGCTCCTGTCTGCAGGTATAGCAGAGTATCATTAACAGTGTCGGGTGGGCTCCCTCTCATGGCCTGGGTCTCAGGCTGGACCAGTCATTGTCCATTCCCTCAGTTTCTGCTCCATCTTTACCCTACACATATTATAGGAATATAATTGTAGGTGGAAGGATTTGTGGTTGGCTTGGTGTCCCAATCTCTCCATTGGAAGTTTTGCCTGGTTACAGGAGATGGCCACTTCAGACACCATATCCCCCATTGCTAGTCCTAGCTAGGGTCACCCTCATAGATTCCTGGGAGTTTCCACTGTACTAAGTTTCTAGCTCATTCTAGAGATGCTCCTCCCCACCCTCCCTCCCTGTTCCAGTTGTTTCTCCCAGTCCTCTCTCCCTCTGTCCTCTCTCCACCTGATCCCTCTTGTTCCCATCCCCACCCCCACCCCATCAGATCCTCTCCCCACGATGTCTGTTTTACCTCCTCTTCTCAGTGAGATTCCCCCTCGAGTCCTCCTGGTCACTTAGCTTCTTTGTGTCTGGGGATTGTATCATAGTTATTCTCTATGACTAATACCCACTTATAGTGAATACACACCGTGTTTGTCTTTCTGGGTCTGGGTTACCTCACTCAGGATGATTTTTTTCTTATTCCATCCATTTGTCTGCAAATTTCATGATGTCCTTGTTTTTCATAGCTGAGTAGTGTTCCATTGTGTAGATATGCCACATTTTCTTTATCTATTCTTTGGTTGAGGGACATCTGGGTTGTTTCCAGTTTCTAGCTATTAAGAATAAAGCTGCTATGAACATAGTTGAGCAAGTGTCCTTGTGATGGTAGAGAATCTTTTGGGTATAGCTGTGTCTTGAGGTAGAACTATTCTCAGTTTTCTGAGAAACTGCCAAATTGTTTTCCAAAGTGACTGTATAAGTTTGCACTCCCACCAGCAATGGAGGGATGTTCCCCCTGCTCCACATCCTACCCAGCATGAGCTGTCACTTGAGTTTTTGATCTTAACTATTCTGGCAGTGTTAAGATGGAATCTCAGAGTCATTTTGATTTGCATTTCCCTGATGGCTAAGGATGTTGAACATTTCTTTAAGTGTTCCTCGGCCATTAGACATTTCTCTGTTCAGAATTCTTTGTTTAGATCTGTACATGACCACCACCACCCTTTTGTTTTGTTGTGTTTTGTTTTGTTTTGT